CGAGAATAGCCGATGAACATACACAACGAGCAACGATGTACTTCCAGGTTGCATTTCGAGGAAACGGTTTTACCCGTTCGTATACCGAGGGAGAGACCTTGTTAATTTAAACACAACGATATTATTACAAACGTTGGTTCGATGTATTGTGAATGTATTTATGTAATATGATGTAAAAGCTGTTACTGGCCGACAGATTAAAAGCATTATCGATTAGGAGAGAACGATTTCACTTATCTGGAATTTTTAAACAAAACTCCTCTCAAACGAGCCCTGCTCAAACGAATTACAATTATGTTATTCCAATTACTTTTTATTTATTTAATTACTCTTTTTTTTTTTAAAACTCTTCATTTTAAACAAGACACTGACCGATTCAATTAATTCTACCCTCTCCTCAAAGTTGAAGTTTCTTACTGTATCCTTTAATTTTTAAGAAAGCCTAAAGCCTTTTATAGTATAGTCCAGGTTATTTTCCCTCTACGAAAAATATTTTCAAGAAAGGATTCTTCAAAAACTTTAAAAACTTTCTCGAAACGCGAGGACAGGAAATAATTAAGCAAGAAAAGCAAAACTTGCAATCTTGTTTCCACCACACAAGAGAGAGTGAATGTTGAAACGTTTTACTCTTAACGAACATTTCAACGTCATGAATTCGGCAGAAGAAAAAATTTTCATCTCGATAAAACGCCACTTTGCCGGATAACGAAATACCCTTCAGTTTAATCGGGCTTCAGGCATCATTCGTGCCAAGAAACGCATACGTCGAATACATCCAATGGCGATGGTTCACAATACGTTTATTGGCGTGAAAACAACGGGCGATATTTTCGTAGACCAGACTTTCGATCTGGCCCGACCACGATTATCTAAAAATCGGGGATTATCAGAGAAGAAAGATTGTGTTGCAAAATTTCGAGAATTTTGGGGGCGGGGATAGAAAAGAATAATCATCGACACATCGTGGACGCTTAATTGAGATCGAATCCGTGAATACCGAAATAACTCTCGAGAATTTCTCGTGAAATATTTATAAAGTAGTGCGTAGTTTCGATACACGATCATTACAAGAAATTTGCGATGCACGTCGCTTCACTCGTTTCCACGATGCGTTTGCTTTCCAGCTCAATTGTATCGATTATATCGATGGACCATCATCAGCCTCGATCGATTAATTGTTTGTCAATTGCGTACATGGACGTACAGTTATTGCCCTGGGGGCGCGAATACGAAACATTTCGGGCTCTCCGTGCTTTCACGATGCAACACGCGTTATTCAAAATGCAGAGGACGGAAGGAAAGAATAGAAGGTTTATCGGTCGAAAAAAAAATTCTTTTTCTCGTGAAGTCGCAATGAAAAGGAATCCACGATTTTATAAACACTTCTCGGCTAGATAAGGATAAAAATCTTTTGTTTCGAAGAGCAACGTGGGTACTCGATGATAAATCGAGAAGAGCTGATACGGTTGGTGAAATAAAATTTATTTACGCGTTAATTAACGAAATTAATTATTTAATCTTGGGGAATAGGAAAGTTGCGATTAACACGTTTCTTTCGAAGAAGATACGTCTCTCGACGAGGCGCAATAAGGAAGGAGGGAGGATAAAACGGGGCGAGACCCATTTTGGCGTGCAAAAGAAGCGCAGGATTCACGAAAGCCTCGACGAAATATTATTCGGATGCCAGCTACGTGAATCAGACAGAAGGCGAATTGCGTTCAGTTCCATTTTATTTGCGTAACGATATTTCCGTTTCTCTTCTTCGTTTCGACCGTGAAACGCAGCTCAGAATTTTCCTCCGTCGCCCTTCGCCCCCTGCGCCTCCCCCTCTTTCCCTCGCGCGAAAATGCTCCTCGTCTCGTCTCGTCTCGATCGAGACCTTTCAAGATCGACGCCTATCTCTTCCCCTTCCCCGCGAATCAATCGACGAGACCGATCGTAATCTGGAAGATTGGCCGATCGAAAGATTCGAAAGCAAATGGTCGGATCGATCGGGCGAAAATAAATGGCTCGTTAACCCTCGTGGTGAATCCAAGTTCACGAACGAGGATCGGATTCACAACGAAAGCAAACAGCTGTTTTCGGTGTCCCTCCGTCCTCGCCACCTCGTCGGATCAACATCCGGCCGAGCGAGCGGGGGCTCCTCACTAAAAATACCGATCAATAACTAATCCGGCCGATAGGAGATGGGGAAGAGAGTGGAAAAAGTGGAGACGGATCCGGATTGACTCCGAAATAAAGCGAGCGGGAACCGACGACAGGGTGTCATAAATCAAGGCGCGGCGGTTCGACAAGGTTCTTTATTCGCATACGCGGCCGATTAGCTCGCCGTTGAGCGTCGCGACGCGTTGCTCGGCCGTATGCTATTTCAATGTGAAAATAGTGGGGCGTCTCTCTATTTCGGTCGGCCGAGCCAGGGCCGTTTAGTCTACGGCCTGGCTTCCTCGCCAGGAGGAGGCCGCTGTGGTCCGAATTTTTCCATTTTCATCTGCGAAATATCCGGGAAAAGGGAGAGAGAGAGAGAGAGGGAGAGGGAAGGGAGGAGGGTTCGACGGAGGACGAGCGAGGGATTTTTGGAGGGATTATCAGTGGAGGGTGTTAGGTGGAAACATTGAGATTCGGGCGTGAAAGTCCTCGGTGGAGAGAGTCTTTTCGGAGAAGTTTGGAAAGGGGAGGATCTCGGGGGGAGAAGATGTTCTGGTCGGAGACCACGGACGAGGAGGAGGAGGCGCTGTTGTGCAGCCCGGCTCTCATGGCAAGGAGAGCCTCGGAGTCATGGATCGTCGCGCCTCCTGTGGAGGTATGAACCCGTGAAACGGGTTTTCAAAATTCCGCTTCGATCACCAAAGAAATTCATTCAGGAAATGCCGTTTCCTTGGATGCAACTATTCCAGGATTCGATTTTCCGATACCCTTTTTGCGTTAGATTTATCCGGTTTCTTTATTTGTTTCGTCAAATTTGGAATTGGGCTTGAATTTATATACGTTGGATTCGGGTCAAAATTCTATTTCGATACCCTTGAAATTCCTTGGCCGGAACTATTTAGAATTCGAGCCGATTTTCGAACCCCCTTTTTCCCTTGTATTGATTTCTTTATTATTTCCTGTTCGTAAATCGGACCGATTTCGGGTTCAATTTATTTTTAATTATATTTGGATCTATATGTAATTTTTTTGAGAAATATTTTTAACGAAAAAAATAAGATATTTCGTACGTATCAGCTTGATAATAATATAAACAATTAGCGTTTTATTTTATCAGGCGTATCTTTTAATCTCTTCTGAAACACGAGAAAATTGAAGAAATTAAAAGATCGAAAAATGAAATTTCTTTAAATTTCTTCCGCGTCGATTGTTTTCATTATAGCGCGAATCGTAAAAAAATCGTAAAAAGATAAAGAAAAAAAAAAGAGAGAGAAAAACGATTATCCACGAAGATTGCCACGGTGCAAATCGTTCGATGAGCCGAGCTCGATATCGAGCGCAGAGAAGAGCGAAAGATGAGAAAGGGGAAAGTATGTATCGTCGGGAGTAAAAGGGGGGTGCTTTTCTCCTCGGATATTGTGCGACATTATCGAAGCACTTTACCGTACCGTATTGTTCGAGCGGAATTTCGATGAACCGTAACCAAAGATACGACAGCGAAACGAACAACGAATTATTGCGATTGAGATTAATTAACGGTGTCGAGGAACATTATCGTAGCCCCCTGAATCCGTGAAATCTAATTTTAAACTCGTGGAAAATTTAACTCTCGATATTCAACGATTTTGTAAATAAATTTGTATGATCTGACATTTGAAATTTTAATCAAGAGGAAAAGAAAAGAAAGAAAGAAGGAAAGAAAGGAAAAATAATTAATTTGTAAATAAATGTTAATTCTTAACATCTGTTGCGTCGGATGGATGATATATGCGCAAGGAATGATAAGGGATTGAAAAATATTTCGAAATTAACTACGTTGCTATAATTAATCGATAAAAAGAAAAAAGAGAAAAAAAGAAGAAAAGAAAAGAAAAAAAAAATTGGATCGATAACGTTCGCTTCGTTATCGGTTGTTCGTTACGAGCCAGGATAAAAATTGGTGTCGAAGGTCGGCCGCATCGCGTTAACCGTGGAGATTAGAATTCCTGGCCTTTGCATCATTATTACGTACGATTACGAGCAACGTATTCCCACGTTTTGGAACTGGTCCAAGGATTCCTCGCCTTCTCTTCGCCATCCTGTTTTCTCCGCTTCTACAAAACGTGTAACTAATGAACACGTAAACGTCCCCTGCCGAGAGAGCTCGACACCTCTCGCCAAACAAATTGGGTGGCCATTTTCTCAAACGGCCTTCAAAACGTTTCTACACCGACCAACCTTAACCTTAACCAATTATCGTCCAGCCCCAACGATATCGAACGATGAATAATCGTCTCCCCCTCGACGGCCAAGTTTTTATTCTCTCAACGATAGATAACACCTTCGAGCATCATTGACCACACTGTGCTCTGAGATCGATCGTATCGGAATACGAATTTATCGGATTTTACCCTTTCTACACGGGATGGACCCTGAAGAAGGGTTCCGCAAGATTAAAGGGATTAAATAGGGCAAGGAGGACACCGATAACCGAATCGTAGATGCATGATTTCCCTCTCTAGTTTTATACACCGTCTTCTTCGAATCTATCTAACCCACGAAAGAAAAGAAAGAAAGAAAAAATGCTCGTAAAAATCGCGTTTGTACGTCGAAAATGAGATTTTTGATTCCCGAATTCCTGACGAAATTATTATTATTATTATTATTATTATTATTATATTCTTAGATTCTTAAGGCTGTTTTTCTTTTTCTTTTTTTTTTTTTTTTTTTTTTTTTTTTACAAAGGGCCTATCATCGGCCTCTCCCATCCATCACGATACACGCGCATCTGTAGGAATAAGGCTTTGACACGATCGATTGACTCTCACAAGAGCCACCTCTCTCTCTTTGTTTCCCCGTTTCTTTTCTTCGTGCAGGCGATGCCCGCGGCGGCAGTTTCCCTTCAACGAAAGAAATCACTGCCGGATGTGGCTCAACCCATTCAGTTGACGGCCACGGCACCGCTATCCAGGGAGGAAGTCAGTGTCCTGAGCAGCATGAGGAGGGAGGAGATCCGCAGGCAGATCGACGAGAGCGAAAGACTCAGGGCCAATCCTCTGTTGTACTTGGTCAGTCCTCAAGTTAAAGTGAGTATTACGTTAGAAATTATCGTTTTTTTTTTTTTTTTTTTTTTTTTTGTCTAATGTAATCGATAATATATCTGTATGAGAAAAGATATACAATATCCAATTTTACAGAGTCAAGTTGAGAACAGTTTGTTTTTCGCGGAGAAAAACAAACTGTATTATTGTATTTTTTTTCAAGATATTCGTTATCGATCCGTCGTGTCGTCCTCGACACAAATAAATTCTGATTCGCAATTTCTTTTCTCGACGAGTGAGTCGAAAAATCGAGTTAAAAATGTATTATATATGCATATAAATATATTGACATGAATCATGAACGACCTGGTATAGACTATATTTGCGTCGCTCTTTTTCGAGGGTTAATCAAACGGGTTAATTAAACGATCCATCCTTCTTAATGCAACGCATAAAATTACTATTGAATGCAAATACTCCATTTGGATATACGTTACATCGTATAAATATTAAATCACATTACATGTATTTAATATTATCATTCTATGTATATATATATATATATATATATAATATTTTTCTAAACGATACGCGTTATTTTGATCATTTATCGAATTTAATCGGATCGAAATTAAGAGTCTTCCAGATTTTTCGATATCTTTCGTCCACTTTCGAAAAATCGTAGTATTATCGAATATTATCTTCGTTGCTCGTGGAAGAAATTCGTGGAAAATGGAAATTTCGAAATGAAAGTGACAAGAAGATTGAAAAGTGGGGCGTTGCGTAGATTTTGCGTAGACGGTTGCCTATAAAATAATATAGTATATATAAATTGTAATGTACAATAACCTTGAAAGGAATGAAAAAGGAGGGGGAAGAGGCAACCTCATGCTTGAATTAACGACGCAAAAACGCTTCTTATCGGATGATTGCAAGAGTAAGTCGCACTATTGATACGCAATTATGAATGTTTAATCGTTTCGAATATACCACTTCCGTGACATCTTTTGAATTGAAATTGTCTCACAGTCACTTATTCATATTTATATATCGCTTTATACATATATGCGCCTCTTTAAAATGTGCGCTGCACGTTAAAGTTTATCATCAATGATTTTTTTTTTTTTTTTTTTTTTATTATTTCGAGGGACAATGTCATCAATTGGAAAAACTGACGGAAAATTTTACAAAAAACGAATACAAGGCCACGAATAAGAATATATATTTTGTCGATAATTCAATAAGTGCAAATTTATGTTATTTTTCTAATGCGTAATATACATATATATATATGTATATGAAGAGAATTTCAAAATAGACAGAATATTTCGAAGTTGTTGCTCTTTTTTTTTTTTTATTGCTAATAAATTTATTTCTCAAGAGATATCAATTTGAACGGTAAAATGTAATAGTAATAATGACGATATTTTCGATCGTAAAATAATATATGTATATATTATTCCGGTTCCATAAATCATTGGTTCCAATCTTTTTCAGATTAGGTTGTTTGCACTTGTTAATTATAAACATTATACGGTTGCAATATATTTTAACCGGTTATGAAATCAAACTGTTATTGCATACATATTTGCATACACGAGCAGTAAATCCTCGATTGCTTTACATCATTCGCGTTTCGAATAACATTATCGTGCGACGTAAATTTTGTTGTGAATTTTCTTGAAACTTTCGTTCGGGAAAAGTTGCGCAATGTTGCGTATATACACGTGCCATACGTATATTCGCCATTTAAGCGAAACATTACTTATTCAAAAGATCAATTATCGAGGCAGGATGAGTCAGTTGTACTTCAGTTTTATTTATATTTCGCAAACGATTAAAAATTAAAATTTAAAAAAAAAATGATAAATGGATTTCCAGCCGTTAATTTGCAAATTAGATTTCTTTTTTTTTTTTTTTTTTTTTTTTGTTATTCAAATAATACCCGATCTCCTCCTCTCCTAAAATTTCGATCGATTCTTTCCTCCCTCCCGTTAATCGTTAAAACTTGGNAAAAAAAAAAAAAAAAAAAAAAAAAAAAAAACAATGGAAAAACTGATTTCTAATTCGAAAACGAAAAATTTGCAGGACTGGTTCTTCCGGCAGCAGCTCGTGATGCTGGTGCTGTTCATCAACATATCCTTAGCCCTGATGTTCTTCAAACTGCTGACGTAGCAGCCAGCCGACGATTGGGTTCACGGGCTCGTGGTGGACGTGACCTGAGACGCGGGCGCGTCACGACGCCCGAGTCGTCACCGAGTACCAGGATTTAAAACGATTTAAAAAGAGGCCGCGAGATCGAGTGGCCTCCGGATAAAATCACGAATAAAAACCGTTGAAAACGGCTTTCGAGCGATCCAACTCCGTTCCACGGTGGCAAGGTTGGATGAAACAGAGAGAAAGAGAGAGAAAGAGAGAGAGAGAGAGAGAGAGAGAGAGAGAGAGAGAGAGCGCTTGGGACCTCGAGGAGAGAGAATTGAATTTGGAGAAGTTGAAGAAGAATGTTTTTTTTCTCTCTCTCTCTCGAGAATCTTCGCCTCATTATATTGGACGATCGACGAAAAGAGGATGGATGTTTGGGATATACAGGGGCGAGTGTATTATTATTATTATTCTCCGCGGATTCGATGCGATTTTTGGATTTTACATTTCCAATTTGCGGGGATCGGAGGGATGAAGCTTAGTGATTTATGGGTGATGAGCGACGAAGGAGGGAGGAAGGCTCGTTGTTTCTCAGACGGGGTATCAAAGTCGCCTAGATACCCTGGCGCCTGTATCATACATATTTTTACACCGAATATTTTAATAATAATAATATTAATATTTGTAAGGGATGGGCCCCGAAGAGAAAAGGGTCCATACCCTAGGAAAAAAAAAGAAAAAAAGAAACACGGTGCGCACACACGAATCTCTCTACACTTTTCCCGTTCTTTCTCGGCGATCGGCTCGAGCGCGGACACTTGAACGACTTTTATACAAAAAAAAAATCTATATATGTATATATATAGAGAGAGAGCAGCTAGAGTAGCGTGAAACCATTTTTTTGTCCGGTATATATATATATATATATATACATATATATCTTCTCGAAAATGGTGGCCGAGGATATTTTTCAAAATCGGGTTTTTTGCCACTCGATCGAAGGAGTTGAACACATTTCGACGAGATAGATAGATTCGCGAGCGTGGCAGAAAGGAAAAGATGTGAGAGCAATGACGACGAGGATTTAGGATTTCTATATATATACAATTGTTACGATTTCTACGAATTTGATAGGCGCGAATGGCGAATTTGTGATTGCGTTGTTGCACGGTTAAAACGTTTAACACTCGTGTGTAACTCATGTCTTATTATCGACGTGTCCACGTAAATTGTATGGATGTTGTGCGATATAACGTAGTTTTTAATCGTGTGAACCGCTTCGCGCGCGAAGCATATTTTACGTGTAGCCTTGCCTTCCACGTAAAATTGTAAATAAGACACGTTTCCTCTGATTTTTATATACACGTTTTGGATCGAGTCGAGAGTGTGCGTTTGTCGATCGTGGTCGAGAACGTTTTGTTACTCGATCGCGCGAAATTGTGCGATGATGAGGGGGAAAAAATAAAAAAAAAAATATATATATATATCAACTTTGTAACGTGACAACGGATATTTCTACGAAACGCGTTGTTCAACCGACCGACGTTATAATAGGTAATTAGGGTTTAAGAGGGAAAAGAAAAGAAAAGAAAAAAGGAAGAGGAAGGATGGAATGACTCGAACGGTTAAAAATCTATGAAGAAAGAAACGAGAGAAACTCGTTATCGCGAGACGCTTGAGAATCGTAAAATTTATTATTAACTTGGATGGAGAAACTTGTCGATAATCGATCTTTTTCCACGGTTCAAAAAAGTTATACGCCGTATACCACGTTAATATATACACGCATACTAATATAATGTAATTGTCTCGAATCGCGCGATATTTCGCGATTAATGCATAATTCATCGATTAAGAGACGTTTGTTTCGTCGATATACGCGCGTTTCTTCGTTGGACAAAACGAAATTTTTACAAAGAAAGATTGTTTGTATACATTTTTGCGCATCGTTCGCTTCTGGGATCCTATTTGATAAAACAAAACAAATAGAAAAAAGAAAAAAAAAAAGAAGAGAGATAAAATTGTCTTTAACGCGACGTAATAAACGTAATAATAATCGAGTATATTTGATATTTTTCATGATGATGATACGAAGGTCGATTTACAAATCTCGAGGATCGTACTACCTGCGCTCGAGCGATCGCATTTTTTCTAGCCTCAGGCAATATAGCTTGTACATCTAGATGAATTTGTAAATAAAAAAAAAAAAGAAAGAGAAGAAGAAGAAGAAGAAAAGAGCATTGTATATATATATATGTATATATATATATATATGTCGCGATCGTCACAATTGAATGAAAACAATCTAGAAGAGAGAAAAAAAAAAGAAAAAAAAAAAAATCCTCTTGGCTCGCGCCCCCTTCGATGCGTTGTACGTTCGAAGTTAGGACAGGGCGATCGACACACCGTTTCGAAGAGCTATTTTTCCAAAGAAGAAGAAAAGACTCGATATTTTCATCCTACGCTACGATTAATACATACACGTATATATTTTCCTCTTTGTACCTACACGCTAGCACTCTCATCTCGAGATATTTACTCGGCGGCAAATGATTAGGATGAAAATAGGGGAAAAAAAAAAAAAAAAAAAAAAAAGAAAGAAAGAAAGAAAACGCGCTCGTTTGCGCGCGTTTTGAATTTTTGTGCGAATCGAAATATTTACTTACTTTATACATCGATATACCCTAGCCACCTTGTCCCGTCTCGACTAAATTCGTATTGTACGCAAATCGTTCGAAAACGTTATTCAAGTTGTTAAAGAGTTGGAGAGGATTGGAAGGGGGAATAGGGTGGCGGGGGGTATCTTAGAAACGAATTAAATGAAAATTTATATGAATTATGAACGGATCGAACGTGTTTTTTTTTTTTTTTTTGTTACGAAGATCGTTCGTAAATAAAATAAATAAAATTGAACGCTGTATTGGTAACGCGATTTGACGGTTTGTGCTCGTCGTCGCGAAAACATGTATTGTATATATATAGTGCAACTATATACATATATATATATGAATCGATTAATTAGTACCGCAAAGAGGTACAGCTCTAAAATTTGATAAACGAATTTGAGAGAGAGAGAGAGAAAGAGAGAATGAGAGAGAATGCGTGCGAAAGAAAATGCGTGTGAGTGAGAAAATGAGAGGGAGAAATGAACGTGACATTTAACAGAGGAGAAGAGAGGAGAGGATAATCTGTAAGAGACGAACCTAACCTCTACGCGCGTTAATCATTAATCATTTTACGCCACGAGAATCATATCACGAATCAAAGGCAGCAGCAGCAAAACATTTCTAATAATGCATAGGGATTAGGTGTATGTATCATTCTAAAATCGAAAAAAATGAATATTGATTTTGATTGCCACGCGAGACGAGAAATCTACGAAACGACCATATATTGTATATTTTACTTGTTATCTCTTAACTTTATTATCAACACAGTTTAGCATATCTCGTTATTATTGTATATTATCATTATTATTATCGCTATTATTAATTGTCATTAATTATTATTATTATTATTATTATTATTATTATTATTATTATCGCCATCATGATGATCATCCTATCGAAAACTGCATTAAAAAGATAAAAAACGAGCCACGGACGTGAAAGGAATTTTGGTACCTTACGACAGACGCGATATTTAAAAAAAAAAAAAAAAGAAAAGAATATTAATAAAAAAAAAAAAAAAAAAAAAAAAAAAAAAAAAAAAAAAAAAAAAGAGAGAAAAAGCAACTCAAGGGCCCACTGTCATTGTTGATTTGCGAGAAAGCAGTGATTCAATAAACTTGTATCATAACTGAACACAACCGACTCTATATATTTCTATGTGACAATTGATATTTCCATTGGATCAAGAAAATTCGATAGAGTTAATAGCAAACTCTGCCATGTGAATGTGAAAGAAACACGGTTTCTTATAGTTTCTGCCTCGATTTTATACGTCGTTATAATATATTTTTCTCTATAGCGTGTACGAGACTATTTTTCCGGTATACAGAGTAACGCGAGATTTGTGAATAATTCAGTCTCAATTAAAATGCACACATTGGGAAAACACAGGTTGCATACTACTCGAGAGAACGTGTCTCGATAAAGTGTAAACAAATTAATGCTTCCTTGTGTCAATTTATCGTTCTCTTAAAGTTTATACTCGTACGAGATTATTTTTGTTAATATATTTCGCCTTTATCGAAATTTATCTGCCGCAATATCGAATACTCGAGGTAAGGCCGCAATCGTAAGATGTTTATACGTCATATCCATATATACATATATATGAAATATTTTTCTATGTTTATCGTCTGGAATCTCGACGAGATAAAAAGATAACAGTAATGAGTGTTCACTCGTGCAGCCTTTTGCGTGTATCGCATCATTCCAGTCACGTGCCCAGTCTGACCTCACACGGTGATGCATATATACATCGCTATCGATGTCATTCTAGCTGGTGAACATGCGAGCAAGCGAAGTGTCGAGCAAAACGTGACCGAATCTGATACCGAAACCCTCGTTCCTCGTACCTACCTATCATGATCACAAGTTTTTAGCAATCCAGACGCTTACGAGACGATACCAGACGATTAAACTTGGAAAAAGTTAATTTCGACATATATCCTCGATATACGTCGGAGGAAACGATGATAAATATTGCAAAAATTGATTGTCCGTATTGTATTATCGATACGAATCATCCCGATGCGAATCCATTCACAATAAAGAACAACATATGCGTAACGCGAGAATTAACCACGGCGCGCCTCATCTCGACGACCGATTGACGTTGAATTACACGCTAAGCGATAAGCAAGTCACAATCGATCGGCTGACTAAAAAGTTCTAATTTTAACCGATGAGTAATCCCGCGAGGGAACAGACAGGTGGTTAATTCGTCACTGGTGCAACGACTGTGACGGATTGTCCGATCGTCCAGACCCGATAAACATTATCTTCCCGACGCGTTTCCTTGTTACGAAAGTATTCGCCGTCAGTTTCATTCCGCCGATCATCGAGCAACAGCGCGTCGCCCAAAATATATTTCGAATCGCCTAATATAGAACAGCGTGTGTATCGTCGTGGCTCATGACGTGGCTAGATAAAACCTATTGCGCAGAGATTATTATATACACGGTGAACGAATAAGGCGTTCTTTATCTATCTTTTGATCACCGCAATGATTTATCGGTTACATAGGACGGGTATCTCGTCAGAGTAAATATTTTAATTCTTATCAGAATATCCTCGATTTTCCGTTTCGTTATCGAATTTTCCTTTTTTTTTTTTTTTTTTTTTTTTTTTNATCGATCGAACGTGTACTCGATGCAGATGCACGCATTTATATATATATATATATATATATTTTAGGCGCAACTGGTCATCAGCCGGTTTCTTTTTCTCCGTAACGGTTTGGACGTATTCTTATCTCCGTTTTCCTCGTTATATACCGTGGAAATGTCGTCGACATTGAGAAAAGAACGATAATAAAAGGAACGGCCGATAACCTAGACCAAGGGAATAGAACACGTCGATATTCTTACTGCTATCGCCTCGCAACGGCGTAGAAACGAGCAGTTATCGAGAAGTGTGTTCCTCGAGAGAGATTCTACTAAAAATGTTTGTCGATTCTTATCGTTTAGCTTAACGAAATCCTTGAACTTTTCGAAAATATCTAATTGCTTTCGATAGAAATTATTTTTCTTGTACTTGGAGATGTCACGTTACAACGTGATGATAAAGATAAACGATAAAATCAAATGTTATTTGATTTATCGTATTCTACGATTAAAACTGTTTTTTTTTCAATAAACTACGGTATACAGTCTCGCGAATACGAATATTAATTTCATGTTCGCGTAATCTGAACTTATATAATCGTCTACGAGCGATAACGCGAACCTACCGCGTGCTGCTCTTTGATTACAGACATTTGTTGAACCTAACTAACTAACATGATCATATGATCCTTCGCTATAAATGGTACGCGAAAAAAATTGACGTACATATATATGAATTTGTAGTTTCAGAATAACTTTATATAGAAACAATTTGCGTCTTATCGAAAGATCATACATATATCGAAGGTAATTTTTGAAATAAATGAAAAGAAAAAATATTCGAATGATATTCTAAAGAAAAATATACATTCCCTTTAATTTCTCGTAAATGTCTAAAAAATATTGGTATTTGGCTACTTCGATACGTGCACGTGATTCCAAGTTTTTTCACGATTCTAGGTTACGAATGTTAATGGACGTAATAAAAAATATAGAATAGAACGTTGAAATCGTAAATGAAAATCGTTTTCGAATATTAGGTCAAGAGAGAAAATGACGACTAGGGACGGTTCGATTGATGAATGCTAATCTCGTAGAATAAAACGAACGAATCCGGAAGGGAATTTTGATTCAACGATTCGTTTCTTTTCCTCCACTTTTTTTTTTTTTTTTATCATTTCCTATCTAATCGTATTCATTTTATGATGTTCTTATATATCCTTGACACGTGGCTTCGGATGCCATACATACACAATCCCGAATCTACAATTTATACGAAACCTAACGACATCTATTTAATCCCAAAAAATAAAAATAAAAAAAATACCATTAATATTATCGAATTAGATTGATTACATCGAAATCTAATTTCAAACCGATCAAAAATACCGTTAAAATAAATTAAAGCATCAGTTCAAGGTAACAATGGTACGGCAACGTTCCCAAGTTCGTTGACTGCGAGGTTAACGAGGATATAAATGATAAAAAAAAATTCGATAATCATTATGCAATACCCTAATAACTCGTCGATGGCTGCACCCTATTCGTCGGTTACGCCTTTGCCAGTGGAACGGGACGTCCGTAACATGTAACATATAATACGAGACACGCACGACGTGCACGTGCGTGAGCTGACCTCGCTCTGGCCACGTACCTCCCGCATGGCTCTCCAGCGATTCGCGTGCTGTAGTGCCTAACGAGAGACCTTCGAGTGTACGAGAGAGAGAGAGAGAGAGAGAGAGAGAGAGAGAGAGAGAGAGAGAGAGAGAGAGATGTGGAAACCGCGTGTGTCGCGCACACGCAAGGATCCCAGCGATCGTCGTGCGCCTCTTCTCCCGAGAGCAAACGCAGAAAACCATCTTTCCCCCACTACCATACCGCTACATACTAGTTCTCATACATTCTCGTTCGTTCCATCGTCTCAAGTAATAAATGCTACTCTCGATTACCTTTCTCCCGTCCGATCCGCTCGTTCGACGCCTTCGAATGATTCACATGCTGCGGCTACGTTTCTTTTTTCTCGTGTTCATCGTTTCTTTGCCCTCTCCCTTCTCCTATCCCCACCACCCGTAATTGAATTATTATTCGTTATGACGGGAAACTGTCGCGCGCTGTTGCACACGAAATATATTACATCTGGGTTTCCTGGGTTTTCTGGGTTTCTAGGGAATGGTCCAACTCATAGACCGAATATTTATTCGTCCATGCGAAGTTCCGTTCGATTGTAGTACTCTTTTTTCTTTTATGAGGGATACAAATTTTTTTTTAATACTCTTCTAAAAGTAATAGGAATCTATTATTAATATTTATGAAATTCCAAAGAATGTTGAAACATCGGTGGCAAAGGTTTCACGATTTTCGCAAAATTGAATTCACGGATATAATTTTACCTAGTTATATTATAGGTAATTTGAAGCGAGCTAGAATCATGCACTCGCGTAGTCCCGGTAATTTAGAACTGGCAATGTTCTCGTGGAATAGCCTGTGAGCGTAATGGGGAAAGTGTATCGTGTACACGTGTCTGTGTATAAATATATAGGCTCTGACAATAGAAAAATCTATTTTCACCGGTGTTCGCTAGCTGCTTTGCTTCTTTTTTTTTTTTTTTTTTTTACAGAGAAAAAGTCGCGGTTCGTGATTGCCGCGAAGCAAAGTTCAAATTTCACCTTCTTTCTACCATATTATTTCAGCCACTCTTACTTTAGTTGCAGCCATTATTTTGAAGCGGCAATGCGATTATCGATCCGTAACTTTTTAACTGATTTACATATAGAAACGAGCAAAACAAAAATTCGCTTTATACAGATATTTTAATGTTTTAAAAAACATTAGAAAGATAATTGATAATCGATAAATTGACGAAAAGAAATAAGAAAAAAAAGGGAGAAAAAAAAAGGGAATCGCAAGAGTATCTTTTGCGAGTGTCTTTCGTCTTCGACTTTCCAACGAATAGATTACATTATGCTCGCGCAATATTTCGCAATCGCAAAATCGAGAAATCAGGCATCGACTAGTTACTTACAACGAAACTGCATCAAGGTTTGCGTTTTCACGAGGGGAAAACGATCGTTAATGATCCCCAACCGTGTAGAACTACCGGCCTATGAATTGATTAAAACGGTACGGCCCTGGGATAACAATTTCTTCATTTAATTTATCATGCTATCGATAGTTTCTTTATCAATATTTTGACAAGTAAAAGCAAGAAAATTTATCCTATTTGTGTAATTTTCGATATAAATTTCTGTGAACTCGGTCATTTTTATATTTTTTCTCGATAGGCGAGATAACCCGTATGTACTCCGTATACACAAAAAGATATTAATTATATATAATGTAATCAGTTTTTCATAATTCATAAATCAATTATCTCCTAATCTGATGAATCCATTTATCAAATTCTTTTGTAAACGTGACAATATTCAATTGAAACGATAACATTCGCAGATTAATCGAAATGTTTCAATGTGCTAAACAATAAAACAAGAGTGACGTCTCTCTAATATGTGCGATTTCTTTTTAATATGTAAGATTTCTTTATTGACTTGCATAGGAGCATGAGTTGTGCGAAATGCATGGCATATGACTAATCGAGAAAATCATTATCCGTTGTCATTGTATAGCAATTGTATTCAATAACAATGCCCGTGTACAGAAAAGAAGAAATGAAATTTTCTTCCTGGCGCGAATCATAGAACAGATACGATAATATATTTTCATGTTCTCGCGTGGTACTATTATGAAGAAACAATCCATTTATCGCACGACTGTATACAACGGCACCTAGCCATTTCACAGATATTTTTGTATCTCTCCGTTTCCTACTCTCCTTCACGAGTCCTTTAATTCTCGATACGAGCGAACGAACAACATATATATATCTATAACTTTATCGTATGCCACGTGTCGGCACACTTATACAACCCGCACACATGCCAAGATCGCTTCTACTACATCGGTCTTAAAGCAAGTTAATGTCGATAATAGAGTCACGACGTAGTAAGTTCCTGGCCATACATTGACACCGTGCCGCTGATGGACAAACCGCGACAGAATTAAAATTCATCGAGATGTCACGGCACTTGCTATAACTGTGTTGCGATTTCATCGTATCGTGTATCGATTTGGAATTACGCGTGAAACAATGCTTGACGAAACAAGCGGGAGAACGATTCGCATTTATGGCTCTCATGGCCTCGAGCGAAAGGTGAACGATTCCCCGTCAAGGTAAATATTATTATACCATTTTCTAGCGGGGTATCGTTCGACTTTGTATTACCATCCGATGGCGTCGTTATATGATTATTTATTACATTATACAGCGAGGCTTGAATTATGTATATACACTATTTCCTAGAGTAAGCTTGATAATTAACTAAATAAATGATGCATTGCGCTAGAGATATTTGCGAACTACGCAATATTTGATAGCTTACAAATGGTAATAGTTATTTCTGGTTGTGATGTTATTTTAGAGGGAATTTATCATTTTTTTTTGTTTCGAAAATCAAGGCACGTATTCATGAAGCGTTCACACATTTGTAGAGTAATGAAACCTCAATTTCTAACAGTCCCCTGCCTGTGATAGCGTTACGGAATATAAACAAACACGGCGCGTGTAATTACAACCCCACGATGCCAGTACGAAATTTGCATCATTTTCCCCTTTCACAGTTGATTTAACGTAAAGAATCTCCACACGGAAGCGATAATGGCGGCCAACCATTATAGCTGTGCGCATGCGCGTTAAAATTATCTCGGTCGATGACAGCGCTATCATTTTTACAAGTTCTTTCGAAATTATTATTTATATGAATATAATTTTCTAACTTAAATTTATGAGAAAATAGAACGATGAAAATATATTTAATTGTCATAAAACTTACTGATATTTGAAAAAAAATTTAATAATATAATATCAGTTGTAATTGACAACTTATAATTTATCATCGTATTACATCGATTCGTATCGATTTCATTTTTTCAGAAATCATTAAAAGAAAATTATTCATCGTGTAATATTATTATGAAGGATTAACTTACTTAAAATGCAGTATATTTCAATTGAGGAGGAATAACAGTGGTTTCCATTTCATCAACGACCAATTGCTGCGCATGACACGGTTCAAACGACATGGATACCCAAGGAATAGGAAGTTTCAACATTCATTCATGATACACACAATACACTAAATCTGTTATCGAATTTCATCACAAAGTACTCACACACTCTATAAAAATGTAAAAGGGAATGGAAAAAGGATGAAAATAAAACGTTCAACTTAAAATTTTTACAATATAACTACGCACATGTTCAAACTATTGCACGCATCGCACACGCCATCTTTGTACTGTTGAGATGGCGCGTCGATCGCGAACGAACAGCTGAGAGGCGAGTGGAATATCTGCGTAAGCTAAGCACACAGAGAGCAGACGTTCTGTCCTCCGTGCTCGACCAGGCCTGGACTCGGCAGTAAACAGCTGGCGACGCGATGCGTCAGAGCAAAATGTCGAACGGGACTGCGCCAAGCTAGTTGCCCCCCTACCTTCTCTCTTTGGCACGGTGCAAGAGCTTTATAAAAGTGGACATTCTCGGGCAAGCGTTCGGCGCATTCGCGGTGAAAATTCGGCAGCAACGTGAAGCACACAAGTGTCAGTAACAATATCTGAACGGAAGATACAACAAATAAAGGCATAAACGAGAAAATCCGTAGCGAAAGTGGAGTTTCTTTGTTTCGTGCTTCGATCTCTGCGCATACGTTCCCGTGCGAGTGGCGCAGCATTGTTTGTGTGGTCGGTACGTCATTCTCAGCGTATACACGGTTCGTCACGATATAAAACAAGATCCTGGCGTCCTGTGTGATATCGCGTCGGGTTTTTTCATCTATGAACAAGCATAGAATACTGTCGTTCGTGTCGATCTCCGTCCGAGTCTAGACAACGTAACAGAGATTCAGAGAAAAGATTGTTAGCCTTTCGTGTACGCGCGAGTGCTTTGTTTTGACGAGCAGCTGATCCGGGACTACTCGTTTATCGCGTCGACCAGTCCTCCATCGCTGCAACGGTGATTCTATTCCAACGATTTTACTCGTGTTCGATATTCGTTTGCGTACACAAAATTATTGTACAGTGACTGCCTCGTAAACTGTGTTTAAAGAGATCGTCGAGCCGTAGCAAGAGTGCTTTGTTACATCACAAAATCCGGAGGACGCGATCGAGCGATACTTAGAGGAGCAACAGTACACAACCTATACAAAATAATTTTCTTCGATGACAGGCGGACCAACAACACAAACAAGAATTGTTATTATGTGATATTTTATGGTGAAGTGATCGACTGTAGGAAACTTTTTGAAGTGTATCAATCAATCTTTCCGTTTTCAAAGGATTCTACGTTCCCATTCGTTCTCATCCCCGATTCTGGTCGGAACGAAAATCACTCAGAGCCGTCCTGTAAATAACGATCGTGGGTTCAAGCGGACACTATATCTCGGTCTGCCTGTCATTTACCTATCCGATCGTCCGGATCTTTTTAAGAGATTGTAACAATAGCTTCCCTCCCAAAGGCTGTGGGATTTTTTAGTTACCGATGATCTCGTGATATATTACTTTTTCTTTTCGCTTCTACTATTACACCTACTATTATTCTTTCCTACTATTATTATTCTGAAGTATTTCAACGAATCTCCAAAGGAGTGTTTGAAGGCAGCCAGATCTAAGACACAATCGCTGCTTTCCTTTGAACCAATCTTATACATATACACGTTATATATATATATATACATATTATATATATATATTACATATACACACATTATATATATATATATATATACATACACACACATACATATATATATTATCGTATTGAATTTCTCGAGCTTTTTCGCTGTTGCTCGTTTTTTCGTCGATTTACGCGCGCGACTCTACGCACGATATCCAGCTTCTACATCGATACTTGTCGATCACGGCGGAAGATAATAACGAGGAAACAACGTACGTACGAAACACTCGACAACGAGACGCGGTGCAAAGCTGGTCGAACGCTAGCTCGAGTTTGCGTGAATCGACGACGACGAACGGATTGGTGATCGATGCGGCATAAACCCGAGGGGGCCGTACTCGCGAGCGCTGTGAAACGAGGGGTACGGCCCCGATCGAGCTGACTACAGGAGCCGGCCTGAGGTGACAGCTCCTCTTCGTCGGGCGTCGCGAATACCGGACGCCAAGAATCACCGAATGCCAGTGGAGTCTTTTGGGCGGGCTGGCCGTTTCACTCTTGTCGTCGGACTAGAAGAAGCTTGACCGGCCCGAAAATGCTGTATATATTCCACGTGGACACCGGCACCACCATCACCTTCGACATTAAATTGGCGCTGCAGACGTGAGTATCGTTTCACTAGTACTTCCGTTTGTTTACTTCTCCTGTTGCTATTTACGCTCGTAATAGGTTAGAATCTTGCGTCATGCGTATTTCGTTGATTTGCTTTTACTTTGTTTATTTGCGAGTTGCGTTAGCTAATCATCGATTAATTCCTAAGTATTTGTATTATTCACAAAAATATTTGAAAATTTGAAATTTTCTATTTGAAAAATATTTGATTTTTTGATTCCTAGGAATTTATAAATATGGAAAATATCATTAAATATATCTATTACTTTTTATTCGTTCGATAAATAAGGGAAAATATTTTATTTTTCCTTTATTTATTTTATTTATTACATTTCGTCTACTCGTATTTTTCTCACTTAACGAACACAAAACAGATAATTGCCTGGACGTGGTGTCGGGCAAATTCGTTTTTCATTTAAAAGAATGACGGCACCTCTTAGTCGTTGATTGTTCGTCCCGAACAAAAAAGAACGAACCATTAAGCTTGACCCTATAAATCCTCGACAAGTTTATTCCTCACGTTTCATCGAATATGGGACAAGTAACACGGGATTGTATATTGCGTTACGGAAATTTAATTAACCTCATCGTCAAAGTATCATTTTTGTTATCATTATTTTATTTCTTCTTATTGAAAATCGTTGATTTAGACCGATATCATTTTGCTTTTTGACCATTTATGGTAAATATTTCATTTAAAAAAGCGTGATTGACGATATACAGATCTTTAATTAATTAGAAGAACTTTGATAATCACGATAGTTATCCATAATTTGATTATTTAAGAAAGAATGGCAGATATTATATCGGATGGAATAGGAATACAATTTTTAAAAGAGCTGGAATCACAAAATCAAATTCCGATAAAGGAACAACACTACGATATTTGTTTCAAAATCTCACAATTGAATACTTATCTGAATGATTCGACCATACAGCGTTCTATTTGCTTACGAATAAAAATTCTAACAGGCACGTTCGATATTATTGCCAGATTAAACTCCCTCGTTAAACTCTCGCCGATGGTTATCGGACCGAGCTCGCTTTGAATGCTGCCCGTTGCGGAAACTCATTTCTTCGAACGCAAAAGTCCCCTGTATACACACATCCTCTCGTAGCCGGTTCACATGAGTCGTTTTTGCAATAAACAGATCCGCTTCCTCGACTACCTCTTATATCGAATAAATACACGTTAACGCGTTGAAAAGTTGTCTTCTCGCCTCTACGTGTTTTGTCCAGCCTTTTTTCCCCTTCTTTTTCTTTCTGTTCTTTTGTGTTTTAATTTTTTCATTAAAGAACCTTCAAATGGAGGCAACAAACTTGTGCGCGGTAATGGAATTCGTGCGTTTTTTTCGTATCGTAGCGCAATATTTTCAATAATGTTAATATTTTACTTTGACCCGTACATACGCAGCAAACAATCTACTCATTAACTAATAAAGTACTTTTAGCACAATTCTATGAATATTTCTCGTTACTGCACAGATGGATGATTTAATGTCGTTGTTATTTCGCAGTAAGTAACGCTGTTTATATTCCTAACTATACAATACACTCAAGCGTGAAATCCCGTTATTAGAAACACCGTAGAACTTCAGGCAATCTGTTAGGCAACGATATTCTTATCGAATAATTTCACCAATTTTTTCTCGTTATCTTTTTTTTAACAAGTATTCAAATATTCCAATAATTCAAAAATACCTTCGAATTCGAAAATTAAATAAATGTATCGTTGAGACAAAATCGAGATACGATTCATAAATGAGATCGATATCGTTCAATTTCATAACGAGACTCAACACGTACGCGATTTAGCAACTCCCTGGAGTGCGAGAATCGCGAACAACGACACGTGAAGTGTCAAGGATCTCTCGAAGGTGAGCAAATTGCAAAACTGTTCGTCTATCGCGGACGAACGTGGGCACAACAGAGGCCGTGTGCTCGACGCTCTTTTTTCGTTCGAGAAGAAGAGAAAGAGAGAGATCTGCATGTGCACAAACGAAGTGCAGGTTGTTACGAAAATAGTAATGAAATCTGTGTGTCGTACGTGGGCGACCATTGGCTCGTGCCACACACGAGTTTGACCCACAGTTTAAATCGGCCAAGTCCTTTAATGCTGGTGTATCCCTCGAAACGAATCGGGTTTAAACGAGACCTGGGTCCATTTCTGCGGTTCATCTTGCCACTGCGATACTTCGTTTATTCGTATTATCGTGTCCATTATTCTATTCAAGAATTCCATTGAATCTTTGACGAGGTTCAGTTAAAGCTTCTTTTATGGATCTTTTTAGGTGTGATTAATTATCCATATAATTTTCTAGAGAATTATATATTCTCCTTTTCTTTGAAAATACGCAATTATATGGCGATCTTTCCCGTGATTCTTTGTCTCTTCAACTTCAGACGGAATAGAGAACAAGAAGAGGTCTTTCGTTTTTTTGATGAATTAAGTAATTTTAACGCGTCCAAATTAAGAATCCTTTGAAACGTTGCTGAAACGATCGTAATTTTAACGAATTGTAAAAACTTTACAAATTAATCCGATTCGTTTGTCTGACGAAGGATCACAACCAACGCGTGTCCACGAGGACTAATGAACACGTTCTCTTTAACAACGGTTAATGAGATTAAGAAGACAACGCAAGAAACCGTATATATATATATTTATTACGCTCGTTTCTTTCGTTAAGAGCGTTCCATGCCCTCCATTCGTCGAAACGTTGGAAACAATGGGAAACAACAACGAAACCAGTTGGAATGACAATGCGCGAAAGGGGTTAACCTCGTCTCATCGATTGGGACCAGCTCGATCCCGTAGAGGGATACTATAAATGCGTTTCGAGCCGCGTTTCTATATTTTATTACTTAGTTTCTCGGCAAAACTTCTCGAACTAAACGTTTGCCGTGCAACGCAAAAGATTATCGATAAACGTTATGCAGTTGGGTCGTAAAGAGCCGAACCTCGCCTTTTTCGATAAGAAAGTGGGATACCAAGCAGGTCTGTTCACCTTCTCTTTACTGTTCAAATAACGTTCCTCGCAATTATCAGCCGGTATATTGATACACAAGTGGAAGTACAAGCGGAAAATTCGTGTGAAAAATTACCGACATTACTTCCCTTCGATCGATTTGATTAACCCCTTCCAAGTGAGATCGAAGAAAATGAAGTCGTATAAATCTAGCAGAACGGAAGATAAAATCGTGTCGCATAAATTCGAATTTTTCGAAGATTTCTAAAAACTAAGAGGCGTTTCGTAACAAATATTGTTGAACGCAATTGTTAACAGAGAATACCCTGCCCCTCGTGCATCTAAAAATTTCGATTTCTCTCTAGGAAATGGACAGGGGACGTCGTGACTCATAGCGTAGCCAAACGGAGGGAAAACACTAGGGAACGAGAAATTTTCCCCTTTCTAACTAGTCGCACAGATCTCAGAGTCGCTGCAGAAACGGTCGAACGTATTACACTGATGATTCGACGATCGAAGGAGCAAATAAAACGTAGGAAAAAATTTTATCGAAACGTTTGACCTCGAACCGGGGGAAATAGAAAAAGTAGTTCGGTTTTCCTTTGTTTCAAACCCGTTTCTGAGAACATTAACGAGCAGAAACTTTCGTTTCGACTCGATCCAACGCGACGTTGCTCCCTGGAACGGTAACGGTGTTAACGGTACGAACAACCTAACCGGCGGGAAAAGTCGGTGGCGGAACGAGGCTAACGTGAATTAGGGAAATAAAAGCTGCAAGAGCCGTGCCTATCGCCGGCCGGGAACGCGTTTTGTTTTGCAATCGCGTAGCACAACCGGCCGGTACAACATCCATTATTCCGATTAAACCGCGTTACGCTTCGCCTATCCTCGGATGAGCAAGCTTGGGCGCGTTTTATCCAGCGAAAAGAAAGTACCATGGATTCAGGATCGCCCCGATTCCCGATCCATCCAAGATCTTTTTATTTATCCATTGCCCAACAACGAGCAATCGATTCTTAGAAAATCGAAACGTTACCGCTCTCACCTAGATCTTACACAGTTGATCTATGTATATATATATAAAATCTTAAGTCGTTGAGTAGTCGATCGTGAGAATAACGTAAATTTCTTGGAAATTTAAATTTTCTTGGGATTATTACTATTTGTACAAGTAATAAGTTGTATAAGATGTAAGATTTATAAGACTTGCGAATTTGGAAAATTACTATTTCTTTCCCAACCGAATTTCGACAATGGCTAGAATACAATTTCCTTAGAGAGCAGGGCCTAGAATCCATTGTGGGCCAGCTGTTGTTCCTTCTGCCTCCAACTGTTTGCCTTCGAGCCAGAGTAAATAACGTGGAAATTAACCATCATGATTCAGGCAGAACTGTCTGGACCCTTCGTCAACGCTCATCCCGTGGTTCCATCGTTCCCTTTTCACCCACTTCCGCAACTCCCTGCGTTCCCCAAAGCTCTCGAACCTCTTTTTCTCTCCCCCCCCCTCCCCCCCTCGCAATTAGCGCGCTCGCACACGCACGCACGCACGCACGCACGCACACGTCCTCGATATCGTCGTCGCACACACCTTTGTGTTGAACTCGTTTGGGTTGTACACGTAGACAGATAGGTACATCTTTGAACCTACGCAAAAGGAAAAGGCGCGAGACACCTCCAATATTTGTGGATTAAGATAGCGCGGTCATCGGCCTTGTTCTTTAGAGATAATTAACGATGTGTGTCGATCCACACGGTGGCGTGATCTTTATTCTCGTTGCCCAGCTTTTAGTAATTACGAAGTGTACGCGTAACAATAAATTTCTGAGTTATAATTATAAAGCGCGTGAGTTCGGGGAGGATTTTAAATCTCCTTGTATATATATATATATATATATATATATGTTAGAAAAAAATTCAATATTAAATTATCGATCGAAAAAGTTAGAAAAATAAATTTTTCAACGACGAGCTTCGATGACTGTACCGTGATTCATTCCTGATTTGATAAATAATCGAAACGGAGTACAGAGAGTGTACAGTGTAATGTCTCGAGAATTGTGATAGATAAGAGGTTAAAAGAGTTAAAAAAAAAAAGAAAAAAAGAAACCACAATTGAAGGGAAATTTATAAACGTGTTTAATATCCTGTGTATTCGTCGACCGATAATCGAGCCTCTTTATTTAATTAGTTTCATTTTGCGGTCGTGCGGATATTCATCGTTTAATTTTCGCGTCCGTTCCAGCCTCCATTCGCGGTTTATTTTATTCTTTGCAATCGAGTGACGATTATCACTGGTTTGTAATCGGCGGTTTCATACGGAAATTTAAATTCAAAGCGTTAACAAATTAACAAATTTATCGCGACAGATCTTTTCTAACACTTTTCTATAGAGATAATTCTATTTTCTAGAAATTGCAATAATTCTCTCTTCTAGAAACCAATAATATTATATAATATATAATATGTATAATATATAATTATTATAAGCAATATATAAGCAATATCGTTATCGCTTAAAAAAGGGGGAGGGGGGAGGTTAAAAGGAAAAAGCGCGAGTGTGTGTCATTGCACGCACGAGGAGGGGAGGGAATTTATTTCATATTCTTCTCGCACGTGTATTTATTCAAAGCGGTATTCCTCCTCGAGTCCGTGACAGGTTTCAGAATCACGTCTGCTTGAATTATGAAATTCGACGTAACTGGTATAACGTCCGCGTTTATTTACGGTGGCGCAGCATTCGTTTTATCTGGTTTCGAATTGCATCGTCGCGAATTTTATTCCCCACCCCGCGAGACAGGAGGCGTCGTCGAACGAAAACGCATCGTACGCTATAAATTGCGCGTAAAAGGAATTGGAACGGTGGTCGAGCGAGTCGTCATCAACACCCTTGCCAAGGTTAAATAACGGATAAGGAGAGTATCTTTTGTCCAAAGCGAGGATACGACGCGATGCGCGTTGCGTATTAATATATAAAAGGACTGCGCAGCTGGAGAGAGGCAGCGTGGATATTTAACTCGAGCCACTCGCGTCGAATATTTACTCGTTTCGAATTCGACGTACGGTTAGCTCGCTTAGATCGAAGAGTCGACTGATGGAAATACGAAATAACGAAAACAAACTTGTAATATTTGTAACTCGCTTGTTCCGAGTACGATGAATAAATCGGAATATGGTATATATCGCGCTGTTTATATAAAGAAATAACAGTGATGTTATTGGGTGATTGGAATCGTTGTAAGAACGAGAGTAGAAAGAATCGTCGTTTACTTGAAAAACATAAAAATAATCTAAACTAATTGTAGAAAAAATTAAATTAAAGGAAGCGACTAATAACGATCGACTATATAATAATTCGATAATTTTTAAATTACAATTTAATTGTTGTCGAACGATTGACTCCCTTCTTTCTTTCTTTCTTTTCTTTCCTTTTTTTTTTTTTTTTTCCCCCTTCCACGTTTGTAAACCTGTTTAGCATTTTATCGTTCGCCTTTATGAATATCGCCTTGACATAATTGCCACGATCGTAGCTTGCACTTTTATCCTTCTTGGACCAATCGAATCACACACAGACCTTTTCGTCGCGCTTCACAAATCAATCCTCTTCGTTATTTATCTCTTCGAATAGAAACGGACAGGAATAGAGAGTGGTTATATTCGAGATCGAAAGTAGGCGCTGGAATCATCGCTCTTGCTCCGATGATCTCTTTCTTCCTTCCTTTCTTCCTTTCTTTCTTTCTTTCTTTCTTTCGTTCTTTTTTCGTCCGCTCCCCCTGCTCCTCTCGCCGCCCTCGAAGAGAATTACGGAAACGCATCATCCGGCAATTACTATCTCTCTGCGCGAACGGCTCGGTAAAAACCAGGTCGCGTAAAAGTTAAACGGTGTTCCGTGTATTCGTACTGTTTTCTGCAAGGCGTGATCTCGCGCTAGAACGTCCAGCTACGCAGAAGTCTTCCAAGTTTCCCCGATTACTCGGACTTTTGTTGCCTCGTCTAAGAGCAGCTCGCTTCTCTGATACGGCCACGGATAATCTTGACCTTAATCACGGCATCGATGACGCTGAAGCTGTACGACTGCCCCGCTTTATCATAGAATTTATCGTGTAGCAAAGATCGAGCATATCGCAATTAAAAATTATAATACGGTATTAAATCGAATCGCTCGAATATTGTTCTCTTCGAGGAATTTGAATCTCCGTTAATTTATTTAGCTTGATATATATTATTTAGCTCGAATCACACATTCAGAAAATTCAGAATCGTCAAGAATCTTTGAATTCTTTACACAATTTTTTACAAATTCATGAATTTTGATTACTTTTAATTTTCGAATCTGATAAAGTACCGTTTTAACGATCCGTTCCTCTTTTTCTTTTTTCTTTTTTCCCCAGCAGAGATCGGTTGGCCACCAACTAGGTATAACTATTAACACGATTTCTTTTTCTCTTTTCTGCGCAGTGTCGCCCAACTGAAGGAAGCGATCGAGAGAGAATGCGGCGTGGTCTCGGCGCACCAGGTGCTCCTGATGAGCGGAGGCGAAAGCCTGGAACCAACCGCGCGTGTGTGCTCCTACTCGGCCGGAACCGACACGAATCCGATCTATTTGTTCAGCAAGGCCGCCATTGAGAGCCACCTTCCGCCCACGCCGAGCATAGATTACGGTTCCGGTGAGTGACGAGCTTCTTCACCTGTGAGTTTTCTTCAACCCCTCCCCTCCCCTTTAGCTTTTTCCATTTCCTGCCGGTAACACTCCTCCTCTCCCGCCCCATACTTTGACTTGTTCCACCATTCTTGAAAAACAACGGATTGTTCCCACGATCCGTGCAATTAATCGCATCGAAAATTTTAAATTAAAATTCGTGAAAAGAAAAAGTCGAGTCGAAGAGATCCAGATCTTTTCTCGTCGCACGTGCCATCAAATTTCAAAGATCAAAATATTTTTCGTCTTTCCGAGATTGAAAATCGCGTGACTGAGTGGGAAGAAAAAAAGGTAACGACGATAGGTTTCGTTGATCGAGAATCGCTAATAACGATCCTTATAGTCGAAAACACGAAAGAAAAAAAGAATAGGATATCAGCGTGAAGATAGGGACAACCTGTGCTGTTTTTGGAAACTCGCCTACGCTATGCTACACGATGGACGACTCGTGGATTATTTTCACTCTCCTTCTCCCTTCGAGATTCCTCGATCTTGCTCGATCGTGCTAATGGTAATTGTAATTTCGGTGGATTCGAATGAATACGGTGTTTCGATCCAATCTCATTACGATCACGTTGATGGCGTTTACCGTGTGCGGTGGACCGTGATTGGAACGCGAATATTGACCGAGGCTAGCTCGTCCGATGAATGGCAATGTTTAGCCATTCGCGTGTCCAATGGCGCGAAGCTTTATTATAATATATTCCGTGTCGTTTGGAACGACGGCCAACAGTCGAGTGAGAGATGGAGAGCTTGCAGAGTTTCGATATTTAACTATCTTTAAAACTATCTTCGTGCTTTATTCCGAGATTCGGCGATTCAATCATTGCATCGTGCAATAGGATTTTTCCTTATTGCTTTTAAGTAGAATATTCGATAGGATTTAAGTAATCGGTCTTAAATAAAGACACGTTTCATCTTTTAACCCTTTGCACTCCAGGCCTGTTTCGCTCGGTCGAACCAGCAACTTCAGACATTCGGTGGCCTCATAAGATAAGATTACATAACATAAGATTATACGTAAAGGGCTTAGGAATCTATTTATGAAGCGACATTCTAAAAGAATCAAACAATAAATAAATATTGTTCAAGTTGCCGCAACAATCCCAGTGACCGAGAGTCACCGTTGGAGAGCAAAGGATTAAAAAAGGCAGCACAAGTTTTTATCTTGTTCGTTAAGAATAGAAACACTCCATTTCACCAATCCCCTCGAAGGAAGCAATTTCTCGTCATCCTCTTTATCGCATTCGATCGAATAACAAGTTGCACAATTCGAGTGAAATTATATAAAATAGAAAGAGTACGAGGTTTTGTGTTTCGCGATATCGCCCTTTGCCCGTCTAGACGCTGAATCGCGTCACCATCTTCTGGTCCACCGTCTCGCCTCGACGCCTCTTTCCAAACACGAGCGTCGACAAGCGTCTCGACGTTCGCAACCGGCGCGAGCGTTAACCGTGGCGCCCCTCTCCCTCCCCTCCCCTCCCCTCCTCCTCCCCCTCCCCGTGTACCGTTAAGTCGTTAACCGCGCGTTCGTCGTCGTTATTCCACGATCCTTACGATCGTGCGTTTCATCCGTCGCAAGGTCGAAGCGTGCAACCGGAATCGAAATCGAATTTTTATTTTAACATTTCTGTATAACGATTCAGTGGAAATGGAATAAAGAACGTATCGTACGTACGTGAGATCGTCAAGATTTCCAAGAGTTATTCGAGTTTCAACGATCTTTCCATTCTTAGGTCGTGCATTTCATCGCAAGGTCGAAGCGTGCAATTCGAATCGAAATCGAATTTGAAGCGAATTAAAGTGTTGCTTTGATAATTTTAACATTTCTGTATGACGATTCAGTGGAAATGGAATAAAGAACGTATCGTACGTACGTGAGATCGTCAAGATTTCCAAGAGTTATTCGAGTTTCAACGATCTTTCCATTCTTAGATCGTGCATTTCATCGCAAGGTCGAAGCGTGCAACTGGAATCGAAATCGAATTTGAAGCGAATTAAAGTGTTGCTTTGACAATTTTAACAACATTTTTGGAATAAAGAACGTATCATATGTACGTGAGATCGTCAAGATTTCCAAGAGTTATTCGACGATCTTTCCATTCTTAGGTCGTGCATTTCATCGCAAGGTCGAAGCGTGCAACTGGAATCGAAATCGAATTTGAAGCGAATTAAAGTGTTGCTTTGACAGTTTTAACAACATTTTTGTATGACGATTCAGTGGAAATGGAATAAAGAACGTATCGTACGTACGTGAGATCGTCAAGATTTCCAAGAATTCTACACGTTTCGAGTTTCAACGAATTTTTCCATTCTTAGATCGTGCGTTCTATCCATCGCAAGGTTAATTTCCTGCATCGGGAAATCGAAGCTTAAATTTTTAGTTTGGCAGTTTTCTCGGTGACAAGCGACGAAAGAAATTGTACTATTAATAGACGATGCGAGTTGATATGCGATAAGATTATTAAGATTTCCAAGAATTCTACGCTTTGAATTTCAACGATCTTTAACGTCCTTCCAATATCGTTAAGAGTCTGTGAATTGCGCGCTCCATCTCAGTGCTCTTTCGCTAAAATTTATGGAAATCTCGCCAACGACTTTTTTATTTTTTTATTTTTTTTTCTTTTTCTTTTCGCAATCCTCTTTATTCTCCAAGTTCGCAACAAGCGGAATAAATAAAATACCGGTTGTATTATTATATTCGAAAAATACGATAACACGAGTTAACGCTTCGTTTCATTAACACGTTTCATCCTTTTCGTTCTCCGTAAAATCGATTTCTTCCCGTCTAAGGCTCTTTCCTATTCCTATTCCTCGGCCGTCTTATCGCGCGGACCTCGGGTTTCACGCGGCGATTCACGTCCCTCGGCCCACGTAACGTAAACCGCAGACCAACTCGGTATCGCGATGCGCCTCGCGTTCACCGTTTCCACCGGTCCCTGAAATAACGATCAAGTTCGCTCTTATCGCTCCCACTTTCGATTTTCGCAACGAAACGTGCCATCTATCGTTCGAGTCCACTTCCCTTCTTCGATTCATTCTGTCCTCGTGTCGAAGATGATCGAATATATTTCCACGAAATATTCAATTTTTATAAATATTCGCGAATATTTTCTCAACTTATGGATGTTGAATGTCGGCAAAAATCGTCATCCTTCGTTTATTCTTCATTCTATGAAATTCTACTACATTTTGAGAAACGCAACGTGTTCCTTTTTCTACTCTTTCCCTTTTTGGTGCTATTTAATTCGACTCAAAATTTTCGACGAAATATCCATTTTTGATAACTTATGGATATCGATCAAGGATTAATTCGCTAATAATCATCCTTCGATTCATTCAAACGCAAGGTATTTTTCTTTGATGCAATTTAATCCTCGTGTCAAAATTTTCGACGAAATATCCAATTTTTGGCAACTTATGGATATCAATCAAGGATTAATTCGCTAATAATCATCCTTCGATTCATTCAAACGCAAGGTATTTTTCTTTGGTGCAATTTAATTAGACTCAAAATTTTCGACGAAATATCCAATCTTTGGTAACTTATGGATATCGATCAAGGATTAATCATCCTTCGTTTACCTTTATCGCACAATTTTCATTCTCAACGACGGAGGGGCGATTGGAAGATTAACAACAAATTAATCGAAACCGTTATGCTTTCATCGTGCGGCATACAGTTACACAACAGATCTTTTATTGGCTGAATTAAAAGGGTCACGATCAGAAAACGGAAGGTTTCCATCTTTCGACCATCTTTGCTTACATAAAACATTCATCGGCGCGGACAAAATTTGCATCTCCATGAATATTCTCAATAATCTCTCCGATAATACCCACTTTTTTTTTTTTTTTTTTTTTCTTGCACCATCGTGCTCCTTTCCCCCCCTTTAATCGTGCGGTTTAAGCCTCCTGCAAAGCGTCACGAATCGCAAAGAGGTTTCCCTCCCCTTGTCTCGAGTTTAGACGGATCACGTCTCCCCTCGTTCCTCCCTTTCGAGCGAAAAACTCGAATACAGGCATCAAGATAGGCGCGCTCGTAGACGCAACAAGACTTTGACCCGCGCCAATGAGCAACTCGCGGCCAACTTTGACCCGATTCTTTTATCCGGACGGATAACGATCTCGTTTCTTTGAGAAACGTCACCACGACGAGTCGAAGTTGGAACTGGGTCGACGACGCATCGTTTCCTCGGCGAAATTGGTTAATCGCCGGCACGCGGCTGAACGAAAGAGCGAATACGGAATATAGCAGCTTGTGCGTCTTCTATGTAGATCCACGATTTTTGAAACGAAATTTTTGAAACGTTATTTCTTCTGTTTCGTTTAAAAGAAACGACAGGAAGTTGTTTCGAAACCGGGGTGAACGGTTAGGCGAATTTTTAAACGGGGGAAAGGAAGTGGGTGGTCGGCTCGAGTACGTTATCTTGTTGCGCTGGCTAGTTGGAATAATAACTTGCATCCATGTTTAGAGTTTATATCTTAAGTGTCTTATTAAAGCGAAATATTCTTTTTCTTTTCTTTCCTAAGTAAAAGGAGAGATTGAAATTCTGTTTCTCTTTTCTTTATTCGTGCAACTCGTTTCGAATTTCATCTCGTTTCGCGCAATCGAAGGAAAGAAAGAAAGAGCGAAGGTGGAAATTGGAAAGATCAGGCTAGGATTGTTAAAGGATTGTTAAAGGATTGTCGAGATGAATCGGCGAGAGAAGAACCCGATCCTCTTTTTCCTTGTTCGTTCCTTCGAAGCGTGACCGCGTACCCCCGCGTTTTCTTTCACCCATCGTTCAACTTAAAGCCGATATTTCGAGAGTTCGGGGACAACTATCGATCCTGTTGTTAAGGGTGCAATGACACATGCACAACGTTTCGCGAGAGGAAAAACAATTGTTCGGAGATTCTCAATATTTCTTCCTCTTCTCCATTGTCGATAAGAATCCTTGTCGAGCTTAGAGTTTCCCTCTAATC